GTTTAAACATTGTGTGTAGTTCACTTTTCAAGTACAGACTGCTCACTTTCCTAAATCAGTTGTGAGTCATCAGTGTGACATCAAATCCCCTGTCTTATCTTATGTCATACATCAGATGATCAGCCTTTAGATCTGTTCTCAGGTCTGCAGTAATGGATCTCCAGGGGCTGCCAGCATTGTTCGGCTGGTCCGCAAACCGCAGTCAGTCATCATATCCTTACTTACAACAGCGGGCACGCATCATTAGACCATGTTTTCCCACTGCTAAACACGCAGTACTCACACACATAGACTCACAATTACTGGCAGCAGTACAAACAGACATGAAAATTCAGAAAACCCAGTGCTCATTGATTCTGGGGCAGAGAAATGTCAGAAGCGTCATAGCTGATGTTACAAAGGAGCTCTGTTGAAAAGTGTTGTGCTGGAAATCATGACTGAACCAAATTTAGCCCTTTGCGCGCGCGTGTGTGTGTGTGTGTGTGTGTGTGTGTGTGTGTGTTCTTCCTTACTCTGAGCAAAGCTAGACAGAAGCAGAAAGACAGCAAGAGGGAGAGGAACTCAAATAGTGTCAGAGGCAGCTGAAAACACAGATATTGATTCACATTAGCAACGTGAGAATGACAGCAAGAAAAGGAAACTGAAATATAGTGTAAGTGCATATGGTGGAAGGCAGCTATTCCTGTCAAGTGTTAACAAGCCTGAGTGAAGTGGCAGTGTGTTCAAGTGCTAATTTTATCACTCTTACAGCAATTAACAATCGCTTTGCTGGTGTGGCACCCAGGACTGAGAAGTTACTGTATGTTAGAACATAGCCCATCAATCCATTTCCATACCTCTTATTCTTGAATGGGGGCTGGAGCCAATCCCAGCTGGCACTGGGCGAGAGGCGGGGTCCACCCTGGTGAGGTCGCCAGTCTGTCACAGGGCTGACTCTTAGAGACAGACAACCACTCTCACTCCTAAGGGCAATTTAGAGTCACCAGTCAATCTAAGCTGCATGTCTTTGAACTGTGGGAGGAAGCTGGAGTACCTGGAGAGAACCCGCACAAGCACACGGAGAACATGCAGACTCCACACAGAAAGGCCTCGGGTCGACCCGGGCTCAAACCCAGAACTTTCTTGCTGTAAGGCAACAACACTAACCGCTGTGCCGCCTAGAACACAGCCCTTCTGGCTGTTCTCTTTTAGCAAAAATGCAATTTGTTTCAGAGGTGGAGGAGCCATAATTGATGAGAAAATGTGTTATGTTTTTTTTTGCCTGCTACCTGCTGGTGTGTTGGAAAGGAGTGGACAGTAGGACTAGTAGAGCAGGCAATATTTAAACAGCATGTTTGCTTTCTTACTGCACCTTATTTGTCAGTAATACACAAAGCTACAGTTAACCAGTAGCTTTCTGGTACTCTGTGCTGCTGTCAAGGCGTTTGTGTGAGAATAGTGTGCACGGGCCTTTGTCCTTCTTGCCCTTTCCACCAATCAATTTGGAACATTTGATGGTGAGTAAAATAGCTGGTAACTATACAAAGCAATGGGGTAGTAAAAGAAAGAACACACCATGTGGAGTTTCCTTTTAGCTTTTTTTTTTTAGCTTATTTATTTCTTGTCCTAAAATACAGTTGAGCATTTTAGTCCATGATATTCCTAAAGATCATGCCCACACTCTGACTGTATTTCCTTGTTTGTTGTACTGACACTTAACTTCCCCTGCTATTCCCTGTCAAACAGTAAGTAAACCTTTCACTTTTTCACCACTTTAGTTTATGACAAGAAAACTTACAACTAATGACCAAATCCCAGCCAGCCACATTAGCAGTATACTGTAAAGCCAAATATTAATGTGACCATATTTACACACTACAGTGTGATTGCTGCAGCTCTCTTCTTTCACTACCTTCTCATTTTGTCCCTTATGTTACTAGCATCTTTCTTTTCCCCTCTTTTATCTGTCTCTGTGCTCTGTCAGCCAGAGGAGCTAACTAATGTCCTGGAAATCTGCAACATCGTTTTCACAAGCATGTTCTCCTTGGAGATGATCCTCAAACTAACCGCTTTTGGTTCTTTCAACTACCTGAGAAACCCCTATAATGTCTTTGATGGAATCATTGTCTTCATAAGGTACAGTCGATTGCACAGTGTAAAACATGCATTCATTGTAGCTGTTCATTGAATGCCAGGCATGCAGTATTGCCATACATCAGCGTATATGAGGCGGTGCTACCATGTGCCGTTAAACCGCGTGTTAATGCTCTGAGGTTTGAAGTTTTAGGCCCACATTTGTGCATTACTCTGTTAAAAAACATTGAAATATGAATTAAATTAAGCTAAGTGTAATTCCAAAGCATACATACTTTGAATGTACTGTATTTTGGCATAAAAATGGAAGCACAAAAGAGAAGTGATTTGTGGAGGATAAGTGACAGATGTAATTCATTCTCTTTTTGATTTACCAGAATGTTATGGGCAGGGATCCTGGAGTTAAATTATTTATGTCAAGCTGTGGCAAATTGTCATCTATGTTTTACCTGGTTGAAATGTCCCACCTGTATGTACTCTATTTGGATGCCAAAGCGTCAGGAAACAGGTTTTGTCTTTTGTTGTGTGTGGCTGCCTTTGATCTGCTGCCGTTTTTTCCAGTTCATCTGGCTGAGTACCTTTGTCTGTGATCCGCATTATAACCCAGAGATCAAATACACATCAAAGTACCTAAAAACTGAACAAGATCAAATGTGCAGCCTGTCACAGAATATATGTGTTGATTGAACATATCTACATCTGTCTTCTTATCTATCGCTCTCCTACCAATTTCCCTCCCTTTATCTATCTGAATGTCCTCAGCTATTCATACAGTACCTCTATTCAATCTTTGCTGATGCAGAGCCGATGCTATTTTGATGTGCTAAGTGGAGCCTTTGATAGGCACTTTTATTTAAAGCCAGATTTTCTACAAGCAAATGGTTATCTGCTCATGATAAACACCAAGCAGACAGAAGGATACAACTTCTGTGATCCATAACATCTGCAGATGTTCTGCAGCAGCAAACAGCAATTATGAAATCCATTAAATATTTAAGCCAAAGTTTGTTTATGTCCAAAACCTAAGTATCCTTGTAAGTGGGCACATTAATTACTGGGAGATAAGATAAACCAAACATTCCTTGTGCAAGACAAGAATGAGTCATGTATTCAGGTTCTGTTATTTTGTCAGTTAAAAAGTGTGCATCTCATGAGCTTTAAAAATAAATGCGATTATTTGTATTACACTAAAGGCATAAATGGGCTTTATGATGAACATTACTACTAATGGCTCTCCAATGGAGACCTGGCTGATGAAAGAGAGAAAAACCAACAAAGTGTGAATACCAACAACACAACACAAAAGCACTCAAGATTGCACGTACTCTACCATGGGCTTAATTGTTCAAGAACAAAATTTTTATCAGTCATTATTTTGAAAATAAAAATAATTGCATCACCTAAAACCAGACATTCCATGTTACAGTGGTAAACCATAAGAGCAACTAGTTTAGTATCTTTTTCCTTTGATTTTCAGATGACAGAGTTTGTCTGTTCAAGCTGAAGTTGAAGTAATAGCAGTTGTTAGAAAGTTTGCTTCCTTTTGGGGCTCTGGGGCCGCTTAAGAACAGACCTTGTTACTAGCTGTTGTTGAAAAATGTAAAACACATTCTGTAGACAGACCTGGAATCAAAACCCAGACAAATCAGCACCTCAACATTCAGTGCATGAACCAGGGAGTTGTATACAGTGAAGGAGATTGTAAGGGTGTGGAGGTCGGGATGGTTGCTGGATGTATAATGAATCAGACTTTCATGCAGGAAACCGGAGTTTGCTTCCTGTCATGGATATGTGAATTAACATAGACCTTTTTTTATTCATCATAATCGCTTTTCCTAAGTTAACCAAGTATTTTAGTTGCCTAAGTCTGACCATATTTTATCTACCATACCCACTTTACTTTGCTAAAATTACCCATGAAATAAGTCTCATTTGCAGATTTGTTGATGTAAAGATTAGTCAGTCTACTATACATAATCCATAGTCTTTGCGGATTTGGTTCATACTACACACCTGTGTGGCAATAGGGTTAGGAACTGTGATACCTGGCATTTTGAACAGCAAAGCTACACTGCTTTCTTCATTTGACCCTGTGTCTAATCTTTGTGGTGTTTTAGGATAAAACGGGCATTTATATCTTCATGTTTATATGTTTTATGTATTATATAAAATGTAGTAGGTTCATACTTTGCCATTATTTGGCATTCTGTTGTGTTTGTATGGTGATGTTTATCTTCTCAGTGTATGTGAGATTGTCGGCCAGTCCGACGGTGGTTTGTCGGTGCTGAGGACCTTCAGGCTGCTGAGGGTGCTGAAGCTGGTAAGGTTCATGCCAGCCCTGAGGAGACAGCTGGTTGTCCTCATGAAGACCATGGACAACGTGGCCACCTTCTGCATGCTGCTCATGCTTTTCATCTTCATCTTCAGGTAAGGTGAAATATATGGTGGCTTTTTCTTTTAACAGCCTTTTTTTTTTTTTGCATGTGCTTGTGTCTGGGGGATTCTGCCTTTTTTAAAGTCCTGAGCACTTACTTAACAGCTACCATTAAAGCACAGAAGGTCACTGTGCTCCACAGTAGCTATTAGCCCTGGGTGAAAAATAACAAGCAGACACTTGAAGGAGAGGTTAGATTTTAACAAGCAGACACTTAAAAAACTGAAGCAACATAACAAGTAGACCCATGCTGATACTTAAGCACTTGAACAGCAGCATTTTGAGGGTCTGAAAGATCTTTCACTAGACAGTCTATTCCCTTCCTCTCTGCTTGCCATTTGAGCCATTTCCTGTAATTTTCTTTTAGAAGGTGATGTAGGAAGAAATTACCCCAAGAAAATAACAATAAACACTCCAAAGTTGTATTTGTGACACATACACACACAGGGTGAAGTTGCAAGTAAAAACATATTGATGATGCCATGTTATTATATACCAAGCTGCTGTGATTCTATATTCTGCTGTATTCTGTGTTGTGTAGCATTCCCATGAAAGGTGTGTTCTGAGCTTCTAAAATGTCCCAGCTACAAGGCACCGTTAAAGAGCCCATGGCTGCTCATTTTGCTCATTTCCTGCCATTTAATACTTAATCTTGGGTAACTCTAGATTAGTGTTGCACCCCTCATAACTCAAAATTGCCTGGAATTATTTCATAAAGATAACACCAGAGAGCCTCTTCTTAAAAGCGAGAGGATGGTTTGTGAATGCGCACCACTCATGTTGCTGGTATTGTGTCAAAAGTGGACAGCAGGACGAACCATAACAACATTAATTAATTGGAATTTCTCCTCCATAGATAGGTAAACAACAGTATATGTACCGATGAAAAGAGATGTGTAACACTCTAAACAAAGAGGGTAATTGAGAAACCCCATATTTTAAGTGGCATAATGCAGACATAGTAACTTCTCCAGCCTTCGGAAAACAGCGAGTCCCTGTATAGGAACATTCATGGTCATGCAGTAACCTCAGGCCCTGCATTTTTCTTCACATCCTCAGGTCACAATACAGGCAGCAGGAGGTAAAATATATCCACAAAACCGCACACAGTCGAAAAATTCCGCTTTTTACAATAGCACCATGGATGTCAGGCAAGCTCACATGAACGAGCAACTGCCTGGACATTATGCCCATTCAAGGTAGATCCTTAAACCATCACTTAATACTTTATTTTGCTAGAAAAAAGTCTCATCAGTGAGAGTTTGTGAGACTTATATAAACCAAGTTGCCTCTGCATAGAAATACTAGAACATACATACACCTTATTTTTTGAGTTTTAGGTCATGTCTAAGATCATAATTCACCGTTGTAACATTGTAGATACATCAGAAAACAAGGTAAACATTCCATGGGCTCTTTAACATTTCTTCATGAATGTTGTTCTGAAATGTACCTCAGTGGTAATTGTCACATTGCAAACACAGCTTTTAGAAACATTATCTACGACAGCGTTCTTCAGGTGCTGGTTACTCCAGACATGTTTCACAATCACTGCAATGGATGGTATTTACAGTTTGACACTGGACAAAGGTTCTAGGATGCCCAGCAAGGAATTACTAGCTACAGTATATACCAATTGTGTGCAGTTCCCTGCACATAATTCCATTACTTTTAAATGTTCGCTTCCATTACCTTTAAATGTTTACTGTGATACTTAACAGTGACAACAAGGCCACTGGAGCAGATGACATCTTATATAACGAGGTTTTATGGTTCACTTATCTTCATAATCCCACCCAGGAAAGTATTTATTAGCAACTAGGGTACAAAAACAAAAAGACAGCATTTATAAAATCTGAAGCAGTTGAGTCAAAGACAAATCTTAATCATCCAAAGCTTCTAAATGCATAACTATTAAAACAAGACCCCATGTTTATCATGCCACAAAAGATACACATTTAATTATCAGTCAGGTACAGGAGATGATACATTGTCAGGGTATACTGTATAGTATGTTAACATCATCAGAGGCTCTGCTGTTGTGTTGCAGTATCCTTGGGATGCACATCTTTGGCTGTAAGTTCAGTCTCAAGACAGACACTGGTGATACAGTACCAGACAGGAAGAACTTTGACTCCCTGCTCTGGGCCATTGTCACTGTTTTCCAGGTAATTGACGTATCACTGTTTGGATCATGGATCTATTATAGAAACCTGGATTTGGTGCAACCACTCAGCTGTTCAGCAAATGTCCCTAGTGGCCACTCGCGGTACTGCAATAAAGGGTTTTACCTTGATATACATCCCCCCCGATGTAAAGTCTATGGGCCGGGTTTTACCTTGATATACATCCCCCCCCCGATGTAAAGTCTATGGGCATATGAGTGGCATATGTTTTTTGGCATATGCACCAGACAAGCAACATTCCTAAGGAAGAATAGGCACCATTTTGTAATCCAGGATCCATGTTTCATTAATAGAACCATGGTTTGGATAAGCATGTACATAAACACAGACACTTGTGAAGAACTTGTAAATTAGACCTCTCTCACCTTTGCATCATCTAAAATGTACTCAAGTGTAAATGTTTGCATAATAATTATTAGTCAAATGTCTAAATTCCTGATTCATATTTCCAGTTTTATGTGATGCTAATACTTCAGTTTGTAATAATCTACGTATGTGATATTCTTTAAACATACTTAGATCTCTGTGATATCCTGATAAGAACAGTTTCTGTAAACTTAGATATGTTGTATCATTGTTTAATTACAGTGTGTCTAAATCTGTGTAATTCTCTCAGATTCTGACCCAGGAGGACTGGAACATCGTCTTGTACAATGGTATGGCAGCCACGTCACCACTTGCTGCTCTTTACTTTGTGGCCCTAATGACCTTTGGAAACTACGTCCTCTTCAACCTGCTGGTGGCCATTTTGGTTGAAGGATTTCAGGCAGAGGTAAAGGAGCTCTTTGTCAAGTATTGCAACATGATTTTAAACTGCGGATTGGGAACTTGTTTCCATAATAAAAAAGATGTCTGCATTTTAATTTAGTTGTTGATGATTAAAGCAACCAGGTCAGGTTTATTGATTAGTATCATTCTCCAAATAGTAATTAATTCAGCCTGCATCAGGAAAGGTTGAAATATTTAAAATTATAGCTGACACGTTTTGCTCTTTAACAGCAGTCGGGGAATCGCAGCAAATTAACAAACTCAAACCTCACAGTACTTCAGTAATTTAGTCCAAAGTAGCGCCAAATATCTAACTTTGTGGAAATTTACCAAACCATGACCTGCAAATTGATGATGTCAAAAAAACTTTTTGTGGCCTTTGATTTTTATAATCTTTCAAAAGCTGACAGTTATTCTTTGTTTAGCCTGTTCCCTTCATCCATCCACTGTTGCAACAGCCTTTCCTGTTGGCAGCTGACACCAATCTGTCTGTGTAGATGTTAACCTTTGGCAGAGACAGCCACCGCTAAAATAACCCTGGGCTCTTATGATCTGTTGCCATTATGATGGATTTACTCACCCCAGTAAAAGCCGCATCTCTAATGTTAATTGAACACCCATAAAAACCAATTTGTAACCATATACAGTACAAAACTGATTCAGCCTCATAATTAAATTTGGTCTTATTCTTTAGTATTAAAAGTAAAACAGTTGATTGTTACCAGTACAATCAACAGTACAATTATCATTCAGATATGTCACAATGTGAAAAAATTGGTGGAACAAAAATAAATAAAATGCAAAAATGTCTTGTAAAAACTCAAACTATATTAATTTCAGGAAAAAAGTAAGACATGAAAGAAAAAAAGTCCATCAAAAATACATTTGTACACTACCAGTCAAAGGTTTTGGCACACTCTCCCACTGAATTGAATGGAAAACCTTTGACTGGTAGCGTATGTTTTAATTATGTACCATTTGGCTGCTTCTGAGTTGCCTAACTTACTGTGAAACTGATATATAGCCTTAAACATGATGTTATTACATCTGCCAAAAGTCTGTAGATACTGTAAAGTGTGTGTAAAATCAGCAAAAACAATTCTAGCATTGGCCACAAGTATATTTATTATCCGCAGTCCACATATAATAATGGTGTATTAAACTCCGTAGTTAAATTTCTGAAGGTATTCATCTCAGTGGAAAGCAGTGTAAAATGATGCTGTCAGTCTGCCATCAGCTGTCAGACTTGCTGATGTTTCATTGGCAAATTGTAGTGCAGTTGAGTAATGTAGTTCAGTTTTCACGCCCAGATCAAAGCATTGCCATATTCATGGCATGTAGCTATGATGTGTGAGTTAGAGGGCAAACGCCGACACAAATCACAAGGTTTTTGACTGATCTTTTTGAAATGCCAAAACAAAACACAGCCATCAGTCTTTTGCTCTGTCTCTCGCTTTCCTTCTCTCACTGCTGATCTTTCTCCCCCGGCTCTCTCACCTTCCTCTGCTTATTCACACTGCGTCTGCTACTTTTACACACTAGGGATTATTGAGGAAGTTTACTCCAGATTTCCCCATCGTGAAGGCTAAAGGCGAAATCCCACTGGTTTTAAATTGGTTTTGTGGGGTTACTGGAGTAGCGTGTCAGTCACTTTGTAGTTTTACTGATTTAATCGCAAGACGGCACCGATCCGAGCCGCTCTAGTAACATCAAACACTTGACAGTTGGCGGGAGGGTGAGGAGTCCTGGACTGGTGTCATACGAGAGATTAAAGTTCCTGGAAAATCTGTTACAGTGCACTTTGAGAGTCTCTGCATATAACATGAGCCCTGTGTAAAAGCTTCTGCCCTTTCCTCTCTCTGCCTTCTCTTTATCTCCAGGGTGATGCCAACTGTTCCTATTCGGACGACGACCGCTCCTCTTCCAACTTTGATGAGAGTGAGAAACATGACTCCATTAAGTTGTCTGGTGAGCTGACAACATGGTTCTTCCCTAACATTATAATTACTCAGTTGCCATTTTATAGATCCACTTTGCTAAAAGGACCCTCTATCTCAACACCTAGGTACGATTGCAGCACATATTGTTTTTTGTTTCATTTTTTTCCATTGATTTAAAGTTTTATCATGTAACATTTAAAGGTTTAAGAATATATTTAAAAGCACGATTTGCAAAAATATAATTAGTTAAGGCAAGAGTAAATGTTACTATGTTTAGTCCTAGGAAGCCTGTGATTTGTGTCTAAAGATGGGCACACACTTAACGACTGCTGCGCTGATTATGCTATTTGAACGTGTTGACGGATTGGACCCAGCTGGACCAAGTCGTTCTCAGTCTGGTCAGTGGTTATTGACAGTCGGCAGATAAAACCATGTAGTGTGTGCCACATAAAGATTAATCTTAAGTCTGAACAACCAGTCGCTGGCAGTTATTTCCATTAACATGTTTAATGTTTACGACTGATATTGGTGATGATGATGTCATGCACGTGCTTCCCAAAGGAGACATATTGGCAAAAAGATACCCCTGGCATTTTTGGTTTTTGTTCTTTTTATAATAAGTTGAGTACACAGGAGGCTGTCTGTATGTCCACCACCGTGTTGAAATAAAGTTGTGAAAATAATAATAAATAATAACTGTAAAGTTTCAAGACTGTAATGCCAAAGTGCACTGGACAAGTGAAGTGGAGGAAAAACTGACTGAACTGTGGGAGGAGAATGAACAGCTCTACAACATTATTATAAGTTTCAGTTTCATCTGTAGCAGCACAGTCCCTTTAGCCACGCCTCTCCATCCAGCATCTCACCCAAACTGCATTTTTTCCTCTTTTTTTGATCACTAATTTCTATCCTTTTGCTGATTTCCCCATTGTGGGACTAATAAAGGTTCATCTTATCTTATCTTAAGTTTAAGTGGTTGCATCCATATTTGTTTTAGTAGAAGGACGTGAGAATTGGTGTGATCTCACAGGATTTACAGGCTCCTCTGCTGCCAGTCATTACAGACAGTGTGTTGTCCACAGAGTTTGACCATTCCTTATTTGTGTGTTGCTTCTTGACAGTCTCTGCAAGTTGATGGAAACAGTCATTAAATGTCGTCTGTTCAGTCTTTTAGGTTTTAGCCAGTTGTGGTGTGTGCTCACCTTAAGTTCGATTTACCAGTAACAGCACAGTTCAAATCACAAATTGCCCCATCTACTGTATGTCAAAACAGAGCATTCCTGACACTTGGCTTGTATCTGATGTTTGAGCCAACCGTCTTTTTCCCATGAGGCTTATTTTAAAAGAGGCCGGATATGCTCAACCCAAAAACAAAAAGTAAAACAGAGATGCGGTATGTGCCAAAGGCTTACAAACTTGCAAAAACCCAGAGGACTGCCAGCAGTCTTGAAATATGAATGAGCTCTATCTTTTTCCTGAGCTCACAGTGAACCTGTTCCAGCCATACAGGCTTCCTGAACATATCCAACAAACAGTGCAGTTCAGAGTGGTTAAAACATAAGTCCAGAGACTGAGGGCGTCACTTCTGTGCAGCTGGAGTGGGCTACTGCTGCAGAGGAGATATGATCTCTGCAATGCAGTGTAAAGGCGACGAAACCCCACATTCTGTTCCTTCACACATACAAAGACAACAATGTGTTTTACTGTCTGTCCACTTACACAGCACAGACACACTACCTTTGGTTGTTCTGCTGTAGTGTTGGTTGTGTGGGAAGTGAGAGTTTTTATTCTCCACCTTTCTCTTAATTTGCTTTTTCTCTCTATTTTTGTCTTTCAAACTTTAAGAAGTGAAACTAAGGCCATATTCTACAATTTTTCTTTGTAAACCCACGTGAGGGAGATTTTGAGAGACATTATGTACTGGTTTGTTTGCCTGGAGCTATGTCAAATGTTTCCATCATCGACTCATCTTATTATTTTAAAGAATATTTAGAATTCATCCATGTCAAGTCAAGTGAAGTCAAAGTGTCAAGTCAAAGTGTTTATTTGTCATATGCACAGTTAGGAAACGTGTTTCCCTGTAAAATGAAATTCTTACTTTGCCGTCCACATGAATGCCACAAAATACAAATGAAATATAAAGTAGATAAATAAGTAACACAAAATCTGAGGCACTTTAAGCAGCAAATGCATGGGAGCAGCATGTGCAGCAGTCAACAGTCAATGTGCAATTATGCATGTGCAAACTGAGAATGTAAACAGTACAGGTCGACAGTACATGACGTATTTCCTGGTAATAAACTCCTCAGCTGATTAGGAGTCTGATGGCAGAGGGAAAGAAAGAGTTTTTCAGTCTAGTGGCCCTGCATTTCACACTTCTGAACCTCCGGCCAGAGGGTAAAGAGGTGAACAGTCCGTGCTGGGGATGGGTTGGATCTTTAAGGATGGAGGCAGCTTTCCTGTGCACCCTGCTGCTTCGTCCCCACCAGTGATGCGACCTATCACCGCGGTGTCGTCCGCGAACTTTAGGATGATGTTGTCTTTGTGGGAGGCGACACAGTCGTGGGTGAACAGGGTGTAGAGGATGGGACTGAGGACACATCCCTGTGGGGTGCCGATGTTCGTGATAATGCTGGCTGAAGCCCTATTGCCAATCCTGACAGTCTGGGGCCTGCCAGTCAGAAAGAGTTAAATATAAACATTTAGTGTTAGCCCTCAGCATAGGTGTAGTGCTGCCAGAAAGCACCAGAATGACACGACACATTATTCTCCAAGTGAAATAAAAGAATATTTCTATACTCTTGTGGAAATTCAGAATGTCACAGTTACATTAGTGTGAGTGCTTGACGATCAAACCATCAGTAAAGTAAAATGGAATGCTCCAAGTTGTGATATTAAAATATTCTGCCACACCAGTTGATAAAACCAGTCTAGCTTTGATCATGTGGGAAATTACGGTTGCCAATGTAGGAAAAGCGTTTAGATGGCCCTCAAAACAAGCCACAACTTAGCTGTGTGCATGCACATGAGTGCGTCATACTTACTTGGGTACTTCATCAAATAGCACTACACCTCTGGCCCTCAGCCACAGGTGTCCTTATGGATTTCTAGACTTTATTTTTCTTCCACTGACGGACCAGAATAGAAAGTGGTTTTAAACTCAAAAGCACTCAAATGACTATCTTAAGCTTTACTAAAGTTTGTGGCTTTTGAAATTTTTTACTTTGCCCAGACATATATAAACTTGACCTTCTCCCTCCTTTCTCTATTTAAACGTGTCTTACTGTGTTATTGTGGGTATAACACACAGAAGATTGAAGCCTGTTGCCTGGAGGTTGTCAAATGTCATTCTGGAAAATGTAGGAAATCACTAGGTGGAAGGCAACTTGATGGAAAGTGAGTGAGCAAAAATAAAATCTTACAACAGGATGGCTTCTCAAATAAATTGAAATTTTATAGTGCCGATGCTCAACACTGTAAAAGTATGTAAGAACACATTAAGGGTAGATGGGGACTCAGCAAAGTATAATGGATGTGTGGTACAAAAAGACTGCGCTTTCTGTCCAACTTCCTTTAGATCCAAGGATCTGCACCCTGACACCCAACGGTCACGTGGAGCTGGATGCTCTTTCAAGACCCAGGGGATCTTCCTCCTCAGAGAGACGGAGCTTCACTCTTGAATCCAGAAAGAGCAGTGTGATGAGCCTTGGCAAGAGCAGCCTGGAGCGACGCTCCCTCTCACTGGTACACCTTCATACACTTCCCCACATTCATATTCACACATGAAGGTTTAATATTTAGACTGAATCTCTCTGTAAATGTTCAGTGTTGATGGCAGTTTATTCATTACAAATCACATGTGTACCTTGCATCACTATTAGCCATTTTCCAGCTGTTTGTCATCACTTTATAAAATCAATATTGAGCTTCACAGAGGGACAAGTGAGTTTTCCCTCCTTTCCAGAAAGCATTGGGTTCAGTTCATATCAGTATAAGACCAAATCTGTCTCTACAAACTAAACTGGCCTGAGATGCAGAAACATTTCATTTTATGCTTTATGAAAGTATGATTTGCATTAGATCCAGGAAGAGCAGACAAATCAAATGCAGAAGAAAAACAGAGGAAACACTTGTTAAAAAAAAAAGAGGTTAATGTTGTGGCTTCTTGGATAAAAATGTTGCTGGTGGAAATTAGAGAATTTTGGTCCTTTGAGTTTCCCTGTTGATTTTTATCAATGAGTCTTAATTTTAATTTAATTCAGTTTTATTAGCATAGCTCGAAATCACAACAAAAATCATCTCAGAACCCTCCGACAGACCCCGGCTCTTGGTGGGCGGCCTTCTGCCTCAACCAGTTGGGGTTGGTGGAGAGAGGAGAGAGAAGAGAAAATAAACAACAACAAACAATCAAACACTGATCAGGTTGATGTGGCCGGTGACTGCTCATCAGAGACATAGAGCTCCAGGGCCAGGGCAACCTGCAGAAGGGTACAGGGAGAGAGAGAGGACACACTACGGGAGAGAGAGAGGCAGTTAGTGATGTGTAATGGTGGCATATAGATGCATGGAGAGAGAGGGGAGGGGAAGAGGAGAGGGGAGGGGAGAAACTCAGAGCATCATGGGGCCCCCCAGCAGCCTAGGCCTATAGCAGCATAACTAAGGGAAGGATCAGGGTCACCTGATCCAGCCCTAACTATAAGCTTTATCAAAAAGGAACGTCTTAAGTCTAATCTTAAAGGTAGAGAGGGTGTCCGCCTCCCGAACTGAGACTGGGAGTTGGTTCCATAGGAGAGGAGCTTGATAGCTAAAGGCTCTGCCTCCCATTCTGCTTCTGTGGACTCTAGGAACCACAAGTAAACCTGCACTCTGAGAGCGAAGTGCTCTGTTAGGATGATAAGGCTCTGCGAGGTCTTTAAGATATGATGGAGCCTTGTCATTAAGGGCTTTGTATGTTAGGAGAAGGTTTTTAAATTCTATTCTGAATTTTACAGGGAGTCAGTGGAGAGAAGCTAATATGGGAGAGATATGATCTCTCTTGCTCGTTCCTGTCAGTCCTCTGGCTGCAGCATTTTGGATTAACTGGAGGCTTTTTAGGGAATTATTGGGATATACTTATAGTAAAGAGTTACAGTAGTCCAGCCTGGAAGTGACAAATGCATTGACCAGTTTTTCATCATCACTTTGAGACAGGATGCTCCTGATTTTTGCAATATTGTGCAGGTGAAAGAAGGCAGATCTAGAGACTTGGTTTATGTGTGATTTAAAGGACATATTCTGATCAAAGATGACTCCAAGGTTCCTCACAGTAGTACTGGAGGCAAGAGCTATGTCATCTAAAGTAACTATATGATTAGACAGCAGATTTCTAAGGTTTTCAGGCCCAAGCACAATAACTTCAGTTTTGTCAGAGTTTAGAAGTAAGAAATTACAAGTCATCCAGGCCTAGATAAATATAACTGAGTATCATCTGCTTAGCAATGGAAATTTATGTATATTTCCTGATAATATTGCCTAAAGCGAGCATGTATAAAGGGAAGACTCCCATGGAACACCATGACTAACTTTAGTCTGTGTGGAAGATTCTTCACTAATGAGAAAAAAAAGTGGAATCTATCTGATAAGATTTGAACCAACTTAGTGCAGTTCCTTTAATCTCAATAACACACGGTGATCAATGGTGACAAAAGCAGCACTGAGATCTAAGAGGACAAGTATGGAGATGAGTCCTTTGTCTGAGGCTAGGAGGAGATCATTGGTGGCTTTTACCAGTGCCGTTTCTGTACTATGATGGACAAATCACTCTTCTACAGGTGGTCACATAGCACAACAAAAGTTAAACTTTGTAATAAAATACATCCAGGACTTCTTTAACACTTGTGAGATATGTATGTGAGATATTTGTAGAGTATTTATATCACAAATACACTAACAGAAATTGCATTAGCCCAAGAGAAAATTGTTAACCATGTGTGAAAGGTTAATGGGAGGTTCACTTCTGTCCCAATGTTGTCCTTAATGAACCAAAACTTTAGGAGAGAGAAACTGAAGTAGTCTTTAACGTTTGAGTCAGCATCCAGTTGCCATGGCAACTTCTATTAATTTGCTGTTCCTATCTTCTGAAAGTGAGAGAATTGGAGAGGAAGAGATGGTGAAATATAGTGGGGAAGGCAAAATGGAGAGATACTGTATGGGGGGAGACATGATGAGTGTCGTAGTGACAGGATTATAGAGACGAGTGAAAAGCAGAGAGATGATACAGGGTAGTTTAGTCTTATCTCATGTTATGTTAAACACAGTGGCTGTGTGAAGTCTCCTCCTCTTCCCTCACAGTGCTCCACTTATAGTGATATCAGAAGGCACCAGTTACATCACTCACAGCAAAAGTAACTGAATAATAAGTGAGACAGCTGTTTATGAAGAACTTTATTTTTTAATGAAATTTAGCTTTTCTTTGAAGTATTAATCATTTCCACTGGGCAGTTTGTTTGTTTCACTGTCTTATAGGGTACAGTACACAGTACGTTATACTGAACCCAGACAAAACTGAGAGAAGTGATGCATTACTCTCTGGCATTGCAGCATATTCAGAATTTCACTGATCACATTTGGAAGTGAAGAAGGAGCTTGAGCACACACTGTAGGGTAAATTAGTACCAGCTGTTGTCTGTGGTTTATGCCACATATAGTGTGGAACAAATTGTCTTGACACTAATATTTGGCATCTTAAACACACACACACACACACTCTGTGTTTTTCTTGTATTATCTGCAGTGTGCACTCAGGTGTTATTTAACATCTAGCATGCACGTGGCACTACAGTTCTTATACAGACAAATGTGGTATGTGGGACCAGCTTGGGCTTTGACTGGCAACATGTACACCAGCAGTTTAAGGTCTAATTAGGTCTGTCACACTGAGAGGATTTGACATGTAGACACAAACAGAACTGGCTATTTTACTCTAAATGGAACTGGCACTCAGTTGTTTGCATGTTAACTAGATGACAGCCTGCTGAATTCGCTACAATCTCAAGCTGAAAAGGCCCATTTCTATTTTACTTCTTTGGCTACAGTCTCTACTTATGAATGATTAGCCTACAGTAATAGGTCGGCTCTTGTTCCACTGATTCCCTGCTTCATATTTATATAGCATATTAGCATATACAGTATAATTAGGGATCTTGCAGGGCCTTTCCATTGTTGCAGGTGGGGGTTACAGTGAGTGCCTTGTGCAAAAGCTTTTGTGGTATTTCTGGTTCTCTTTTGCTGTAGAGCTACACATGCTGGAATAAGTTCGAATAATAATTTGAAGTGAATGAATATTAAACCGTATCCAAGGTCACAGTACCATACATTAACATCAGGGGGGGAAATTCTTGAAGAGATTATGTCACTTGTTCATTCATAAAATAAAGATGGGCTCGAGTTTCAAAGATTGACAAAGACTACATTTACTTAGTTTTATTTTGGGGGACAGTTCACAGTAATTTACATCATCATGTGGTTAAGTGGCAGTGTTAACCGCATGGCTAGTGTCCACTGCTTTGGTTACGTTTTTGGTGCCTATCCTGGAGACATGCTCTGCTACAGTAATGAATTAATAACTGTTTTTGTCTCTTGTAGCGCCACGGCCGCAGTTTCAACTACCACAACTGGGGGCGCCCTTTTCCTCCACAGACTGCATGGAGCCGCAGGTAGACAATTAATTAGATTCACATCCAGCCACTGATGTCAGCCTTGATTAATTCTTAATACCTTAATTAAGCCTTAATTGCCTATAGGGAAACATCAAACCTTTGCTGTTGTTTTATCCTCTTATTATATTAATGACATAAGGAATAATGTGTCCTACATTCATGATAGCAACGGTGGTTCTTGGCCCCTATTGCTTGATTCCTTCATTTACAAATAACTCATTTTGATCTCACTTTCCTGTTTTAAACATCATAAAATATAGTTCCTGAGCCTCAGAATTTCTGTCCTTTTCCTATCTCAACAGGAAAATAAGGGAGTGAGAGAGAGACAGTGAGGGTGAAGCATCTGTGACAGAAGAGGCAAGACAAAGAGAGTGCAGGGAAATGTTATCTCCATTCCACAGACAGTTTTAATAATACAGTGTATCAAACACCTCGCTGTTCTTTGTTCTTGAGATTGACAGCAATAAGTGAAATTTCTCTTTCCTGCTTTTAAAACTTAAGATGTGCGGCCATCTTGGATTCAGAGTCTGTTGAGTCTGTTGGAGTCAGAGTCTGGGGAAATACAATAAGATTAATGTTACAAAACTCCTGGCTAAGCCTTGCAAACCCATGTCTTTATTTCCTGTGCAGTGTTGGTCCTCTCTGCTCTTTTCTTCCTCTGTAGATGCCCCTCAGACTTTTTACCCTTAGTTAATTTAGACTTAATGAGTGATGAAAATCATTCAAATTTAATCACTGATGTTGTCTTTACCTACAGTTTGGTACTGGTGCATTCATTTAGAATGGTGCTGGTGTATGGTTAAACTGTCCGGTACTAAATGTTAATCCACCCCGTCAATCAGAATCTAGACGTTTCAGTGGCTAGGGTATAATATACAGAAAAGTGTTCATTATCGCTTTATTGGTATGTTATAAATTGTTGATGAATATTGAATAGGCCTACCCCTTAATTAAAGTATTAATCTCTCATGCCCTCCAGCTCAAACAGCCTTGGCCGGAGGAGATATGGATTTGGTGGGGCTCCTCTGGTGGGAGGCAGCCTTCGTGTGCACAGTACCTGCTCGCCCCGCTCCTATACCTATGCTGCAGAGCAGGAATCCCTTCTTTCTCACCCCTCCCACTCCCATCATCCTCTACCACCTCATCATCCACGTCCGCTGTTCCTCTCCAGACACTTTGATGCAGGAAGGGATCGACGGGCTCTCTCCCTGGAACTCCCAGAGCTGCTTCGGGCAGGCGGACAGCCCCCGGGTGTGCCCCCTGTCCACCCAGAACCCGGGAGGAGGAGCGGGTCTGGGGCAGGGGGATCTATCGCTGGAGGATCTGGGGCTGGTAGTGGTTTAGGAGTGGACCACCGGGACTGTAATGGCAAGGCACCAGGTCCCCATACCTGTCTGATCACTGAGGTTTTCCCTCAAGTCAAAGCACGCAAGGACAGAGCAGACCTCGATGAAGAGACGGACTATGTAAGTGGGATGCAGTGGTTCCTCCTTTATTCACTGGGACTACTAAGTAAAGTAACATTGGAGAGATGCTAAAAGATCAGTTGCTTATCTTATAATTGCTGTTGGTTATGTGTGAGAATTAATTTGATTAACTTGATATAGCATTTTTAAAATTAAAAATGCTATATCATACAGCTACATACAGTAGTGGATGCTTCAGCTACATCCAAACATCCACTTTAGTGTTCAGTTTGAGCACAGACAGGACAGAAATTGATTCATCTGCAGTGTTTGTGTTACTTGCGGACAGCTGCTAGCTAGCTTTAGCTCCCCAAATGAGAGCTGAGATCAGGGTGCAGAGTCATTTTTCAGTCTGTTGAGTTGACAGGATCTCTAGGTCCACTACGAGTTAGCTACAGTCAGCTAAGGTTATCCATTCTGAATTACCACAGTCAGTAAAGTGAACGCTAAATGATTTGAGCAGCTTTTTAGCCAAAAAAAACAACAATGTATGCAGTGAATACAATACCTGCCTCCTAAAATGGCGATCCCATCCCAACATTCAACATGGTGTGACATACCTGACAGACCAGTGTTTGATTGTTTGTTGTGTCTTGTTGCTTTTCTTCTTCTCTCTCTCCTCTGTCCACTCACCCCAACCGGTCGAGGCAGAAGGCCGCCCACCAAGAGCCGGGGTCTGTCGGAGGTTTCTTCCGTTAAAGGGAGTTTTTCCTCCCCACTGTCACCAAGTGCTTGCTCAAAGGGGATTTGTTGGGTTTTCCCTATGTAATAATATTGATAACAGTAAGGTCTAGACCCTACTTTGTAAAGTGTCCTGAGATGACTTTTGTTGTGATTTGGCACTATACAAATAAAATTGATTTGATTTGATACCTTCACATTCGCTATAGCATATTGTACCACGACTATCTTTCTTATCTCTTTTTCCTGCTCACTTCTCTAGAGCTTGTGCTTCCGTGTCCAGAAGATGATAGAGGTGTACAAGCCAGACTGGTGTGAAAGCAGAGAGGAGTGGTCTGTCTACCTGTTCTCCCCTCAGAACAAGTAAGTGGAAATTTCAGCTCTTCCCCTTCACTGAGCACCATATAACCATATACCTTTTGCACTGCTTTAGCATTTTCTTTTTACTTGTGAGGTCTCCTAACATACTGTTATGTTTGAGTCCCCCTCACCAGGAGGGTGAGGGAGAACTGAGGTTGGACTCAATTGGGCTGACCCAGGTGCTAGTAGGAAAAAAAGGAGGTTTAATGGAACAACACAAAACACAAAGTATAACATAACAAGGTCCATACACATATACAGTCCGGGTAAGGCAGAGATGATGGAGGAGACCCGGACGAACACGTAAACAGATAAACGGACAGCAGGAATCAGGAGAGCAGGAGGATGAGGATGGACAGGTGAAAAGACGACTAAGGAGGAGGATTCACGAACGACAACAAAAAAACAAGACATCCACAGCACAGGATCTGTCAGCGTGGAATGTCCCGAGACGTATAACACAAAACAATTAACCAACGTACAAATTGTGATCCACAGCACAGTAACTGTCAGCGCGGAAAACAAAATGACGTATAAGACATACCACGAACAAAGGTCTGTCACGGGGTATGCGAGTTACTGTAAGATACAGTGGTTAAGTACACTTTAAATCATGTACTTTGGGCAATGCTCCGGTGACGGCGGAGCGTCTGCCAGAGATATAAATAAGGAGGGCGACAATCATTAAGCTAACGCGCCTCAGCTGTGCGCGACAACCCACGAGTCACTAATTACATAAAGCAAAACAACTGAGGCGCGGATCCCACAAAAAGAGTAGGAGAGAAAAGAAAAAGAGGCAGGTCGTGCAAACAGAGGCAGGTCGAGAGAACAGAGGAGAGAAAGGCGGAAGAGAGGCAGGTCGGACCTGACACATACTCTCACCAACACTCGGTCCTATGTGGTGCAGAACCAAGTACAGGAAACAAGTCCACCCTGAAAACTTCTGAGAGCTTCTAACTATAATGGGAGCCTGAATAAATTAATTGGATTCATTGTGTTCTGCCAAAATTAGAAGACGTTTGGTTATTTCACATCAGAAATTTCTGTTCCTTTTTTTTGGTTTGACTTGGGCAGAATGTTATACAGAAAGTATAGGGTTTCAACAGATACAGAGGTGCTGTTGCTCTCCAAAATCTCCATCCTCATGAACAATCTCTCCAACAAATATAATACAAAAACCCATTGATTTCTATTTAAAATCCTGCACCACTTGACTGTGGGTTGGTGAGATTTGAACTGAACCAGAAATATGCAACCGAAGCTAATATATTCAGTGAGAAAACACAGTTACAAACATTGCTGAGCACTTCAGCATTTTTCTACCAAGTCTGTTCAGAACTAATGTGCAGAAAAAACAAAGAATGGAAAGATGATTCTAGGTCAGACCAGCGGCCCTGACAACAACAAACATTACCACATCTGTCCTGATACTGTGGAAGAACAGCGAGCTTCACAGTCAAACTGCTGTCTTCTGGTTTTTTTAAGTAATGTCACTGTGTGTTTCCTCCAGAGCATTTTTTTAGACAGTGTTATTGATTCTGGGCTCCAAGCTGAGTCTGTGTGTGTCTGTTTGTGTTCATTTATGTCTGTCTGTGCTATTGTTTTCCACTAGCCTTCAATGCGTTGCTGGTAGAAACACCCCTGAAACAACATGAAAAAAAAAATCCCTCAGTCATCCACTCGCTCACTCACTCGATTCCCTGTGTGCTGATGGCCACTTAAGGGAAGCCAGGCCCCAGGGCTGTGTTTGGCATCCTGGCAGGTGCCATCTGTCAAGCACGGGCTGTGTGTGTTGGCGGTGTGTGTACTAGCGTTACGCCGTATCTGCAGTGGTGTGTTCCTGCATGTGTCTGTGGATGACTTTGCATATGTGCTTGTGGGAGCGTGGGAGCATATGCACGACTTTGTTTATGCCTCAGTGTGCTGTATGTGCCTGAGTGTGCAGAAGCATATGTCTGTGTACCTAAAAAGGATTAAAGTGAGTAAAAATAAAAAAGAGAAACATCAGAAGTTGTGTCTCAGGTACAATAAGTATCTACGCCAGCGGAACTGCCAGTCATGATCAATATCACGGGACAGGGTTGCCAGATTTGAATCAATAGATAAAGGGACAGGGTTGCCAGGCTTGAAGCGGTAGCAGCCAGATTAGCACATTGATTTCCTCACCCAGAGAGCAGGTGCTGCAGTCGATATTTTCTGTTCCCTTTATAGCCGGCTGATGAGATGTATGACGAATACACTCGGGAGCTTCTTACTGCCTTTACTGGCCTCTGGAGCTGGCAGCTTGACAACAACACTGGAGGTGTCTAAGGAGGTTAAAGTCTGCTCAGATTCTATTCGCTGCACCCAGATTTTATGGCTTGCAGCCACTTAGAATGAAAAGTGTCTATCAGCACTGGATTTCTATATGGTGTGAGCAGTTTCTAATTTCCCCCTCAAAACCTTTCAGGCTGATTCACTTTAATAGCTGTTAGAGGCCAGAAGGACTTTTCAACAATTCGAAAAAAAACCAAAAGTTTAGAGAAAAGTTTGCTTAAAAGAATTTAGTATTTATTTATGAGTTTTGCTATTTCTACATTCTTAGGTTAAAGATGTTGATGGCCACCCAAGATTACACTCTCTAAAACTTGTGTTAAGCATGGCGGAGTTCCCACATACTGTATGCTCTTGGTTCATTTAACCATTCTAGACTATATGAATTACTGTAGAATATCAGATAATAACAGTAAGCCATATTTCTTTCCAAGCTCTAGGACCATGTATTTATGGAGGATGATTGAAAAATCTTCAGCTGTTGGGATAACAGATGAATGAATAACTCTCATGTCTTCCTTGTTAACCCCATCCTATCTTCTTTTTCCTTCTACCCACCTTTGTTTCACTCTTGTCAGGTTCCGACAGCTCTGCCAGTCTATTATCGCTCATAAGCTGTTTGACTATGTGGTCCTGGCTTTTATCTTTCTCAACTGCATCACAGTGGCTCTGGAGAGGCCTAAGATTTTGCAAGGCAGCCTGGTAAGAACTATACTTCTCCATATCAGTTATCTCCGTGTAACGTTTAACACTATCAACCACGATCCTTATAAATAGGCAGAAAATTTGGCTGTATTACCGGAATTGTTCTGGATAGGTTCTTCTCTAATTTAGCCAACAAAGTGTTTTGTAAGTCATGGTGATTTATCTCACATTCTACTGAGATGGAATACCACAAGGATCAATCGTGGGACCTGTTATATTTTACCTGTACATGTTATTTGTGGGATAAATCATTTGTCATGACAATAGTTTGATGTGGAGACAGCATAAAGACGTACTTGTCATTTAAACCTCCTGATGTGAGCAAAGTTCACTTTAACAAGACAGACGTTGTGATTTTTAGCCCTGGACTCACAAATACAACCGCTCCTTGTTTCCTCTCTCCGAGTCAGTTAGAAAGAATCTAGGTGTTATCTTGGACTGGGGCTTGAGCCTTGAGCAGCATGTGAAGAAAATAAAAAAGTTGTGGTTTTTGTGAGGATGATTTCACTTCTGTCTTTTAGTAACACTGAGGAAATTATACATGTTTCAGTATTGTGCCACCTTGGTTATTGTAGTGCTAGTGTTTATTTGTCGAGCAAGGCTTAATTTTTAAAGTTCAGCAGCCAAACTTCTCACCAGAGCTATGTATATCACACCAGTCTTGGCCTCACTGCACTGGCTCCCAGTTTCCTTTAAAATCCATTTAAAAATATTGTTAGAATTTGTGTGGTCTGGTGCCGTAGAATGTAACATCTCTTTATTCAGGCCAGTGTGGGGCTGTTAACTGTTCTGGGTCCAGGCTAAGCATCAAGCATCCCCACATTTTGGGAATGATATGTATTTTTCAAACCAAGTGATCTGAAGCATTTGAATCGCATTGTAACTCTTTCAAATTTGGCATTTAATTCAGCAACAAGATCTCATTTTAATTTAAACACTGACAAGTGAAGTCAGTGACCTTTTTCTGAGTGTACAGCAAAGGACCCGAGCTGATTGTGATTCTTATGTCCTGCTCTGAAGCTTCAGAGTGAAGCCAAGTGCAGTCACATTTTTTCAGCATCTTTTATTCCCAACCTGTGTTTCCGCCACTTCTTTTGGTCTCTTAACTCTTCTACCCCTGTTGCCTTCCCCCTTTAATCTTGTCTTCTTTCCCTTTGTTACAGGAAAGACTGTTTCTCACTATTTCCAACTACATCTTCACTGCCATCTTTGTTGCCGAGATGACTGTCAAGGTAAAATGCTTTTCCGTTTCCCCTCCATTGTTCACGTCTTCACGTTTCCTCTTTCCTCTATTGCTTCTTGTTTCTTTACTTTCTTCAGTCTCTCTTCTTCACCTCACATCCTCGCCTCTCTCCTCTCTTTTGCATTTCCTCTCCACTCTTCTTCTCTTCCTTCCCCATCTGTCTTGACCTGGTGTCTCATCTCATCTTCTCTCCTATCAGGTCTTTGCTCTCCTTCTCTTCGTTCCTCTTCTTATATTGCCTCCTCTTATTTTTTAGCTGTCAATCTTCCCGTGTACATTACATTTTCTTCTCCCTTCCTGTCTTTTCTTATTACCCACTTTTCTCTTCACCTACTTTTGTTGCTCCTATCCACTTCTTTCTCTACTCTTCTCTCCCTCTTTTCTTCCCTTTGCACCTTTCTTCTTCACCTTGTTTTTTTATCCTTATCTTGTTGCTCTTTTTTATCGCCAGCTGTTATTCTCCCCTCATTGTATGGATGCTGATTCAGCATCCATACTATGTTACCCTGGTCTTTATTATTATTCTGGTTTCTTCCGTCCGTTTTGTGGCAGTTCATTTTTTTCAGCATACTTTCAGCTATGGAAACCATTCAGGTATCAAAATGTTCAGCTTTTTAATGACATTTATACTTGTATTCAACTTTTTTATAATTTTTATACTTTTTAAACTATCTAGCTTCTTTCAGCTAATTTTTGCCCATTCAAATGAATGGGAAAATTTTACTTCTGCACACTTTCAGCTATCAAAATGTTCAGCTCTTCAAGGACATTCATGCTTCTCTTCAGAATTATTCTAAACTTCATACTTTTGAAATATTTTAGCTTTATTTTGAAAATTTTGCCCCATTCAAATGAATGTGGAAATTCTACTTCTGCATAATTTCAGCTATCAAAATGTTCAGATCCTCAAGGACATTAATGCTTCTTTTCAGAAGTTCTTTAAACTTCATGCTTTTAAAATATTTAGCTTTATTCTGAAAATCTTATCCCATTCAAATAAATGAGGAAATTGTACTTCAGCATACTTTCAGCTAGCAGAAGCATTCAGGTGTCAAAATGTTCAGCATTTTCAGGGCGATTTTTCAGCACTCCGCATCCATACGCATTTTCTTCAGAAAATGCAATTTTCTAGTCTTTCTTCTCATCCCTTCTTCACTCTCCTTTTTCTTCTTTTCTTGATAGCTCAGCAAATTGCAGAGATGCACATGTCCCATTAGCAATAGGCAGATAGATGATGAAGTTAATTACAGTAGAAGGTGATCACTGTTCTGGCCTTTAGCTACTCTCTCATGCACACACAAACACACATTCACCTGCTCTTTTTATTCTAGTATTATGATAATGAAGACGCACAATGATCAGCGCTGTGGTGGTGCAGAGTTCATGTGTGCACATATGCAAATGGCCCCAGGTTAAAGTCTATTTGTTATTTATTCTCTTCTGAGTTTTCATCCCCCTCTTTGTCTTCCAGTCACTCACATTTTCATTTCCATTATTGTGTCTGGGCTACTCATTAAAGTTTATATTGACTCATGCATCTGTTTCTTATCATTGTCTCTGTTCATTTGTCCCTCCATTTGTGATTTAATCAGTTGAGCTGTTGTTATCTTTATGTTCATTCTTTCATTTGCACAAACACAACTTCAATAACTTCTCAACCCTCTACTGCCTCTGTTTTCTCATATCAAGTACTGCAGCGCAGTCACCGAGCTGTGACTTTACCTTCCACATACTGTTCCAACTGTTACAGTTACCTAATAGTAAAGTATTTGTTCTGTCATTGTACAATCACAAAATCAGGGGTTTGTATTTGCAGATTTACACACCTTCAAGTTCTTTTCTGCTTGGATTTGTACAGAACATGATCTTTAACTCTCACACACAGTTACACAGCATTTATTTTGTTACTCATAACAAAGATATTAACATTATCATGACCGCGGAAAAGACATCATTTACCCGTCAAGTTCTCAGTGGCAAGGTTTAAAATTCACAAGGAAGTGGAACGGGAAAAAAACATTTCATTTTCTATCAGGTCATGTTCATTTTGTCTGTATCACCCAATATCACATGTAATGCTTTCTCAGTTTACAGGCCGGCATCACGGCAACACTTTCTCTAAAAGAGGTAATAAAAATTCCCTGACACCTAACCCTGTGTAATCCAAAGAATAACATTTGTTCATTTATACAAGACCTACCCAGTGGAGCCATAGCTGCTGTCTTCACCCCTCTGAACAGTTTGTCTTCAGTTGCTTTGCTGAAGTGCTCATCAGCAGTACTTCTAAAGTCAAGCGAGAGCGTTTACCACTTTCTGTTCCTACCCAGATTTATCAACGTGAATAAATAATCTGAAGGTGAGAATGTGCCATTATAATCATAACTGATCTCAGGAACTTCATACATTGTGCTAAGAGCGACATGCAAACACATCCCCGGTTGCCCTGTAACCTACATCTTACTGTACAGCAATATATTTTACAAGTGTCACTGGGGTATAATTTTAAACCACATATCTTGGTTCATAATAAAGCTATCACACACCCACCCACTTCACACGGTGACTGGCCAGCTGTATCGAGGATAGAACCATATGAATGCCATCCACGTCTGAAAACATGTGCCATTGTTCTTAGTTCCTAAACATTTATCATATGTGTTGCCCAAACACATACATAGCCACCTGCCTGCTATATACTATATATACTTACTGTTAAACATATTACTTTTCATTGTTCTTTGAACTATCTGAGGAAATACTCCATCACTGAAGTTGTTTGCTGCATAAACAGCTGTTTTCACTCTAGCATCTGTTAGCTTGAAGCAGCCCACACTTGCCTGTGAGTGTGTGCTTAGGACCGTTTCCAACTGGAACAAACACAACAACAGTAATTGCTCTTTATACAATTGCATGTTTGTTAACTGGTATTAATAAATAATTTCTTTAATTCTAAGCATTTTTGTCACCTTGTGTCATTAGGTGACGTTGTCTGAAATGTTCTTTGAGCCGTGCAGTAATGAATTAGTTCATGGACATGATTTCCTGCAGTGCTTTTTGTTTTCTCAGTTCTTTCATTAATATTAGACAAATACAAAATAAGTTTCTTTTCATTGTATGTCGATGTTGTTCCATCCTCTCTCCCTCCTCTCCTGTTTCTTTTAATCTGTTGTTCCAGGCCGGTCAGTCTGGTCTCTCCAAAGAGCACTAATTAAACAACCACAATAATTAAACAGTTTCCTCTCCAAGACACACTCCATCACGGAGGCAGCTTGTTCTCATCTCCTGTCCACACACACACACGCACACACCCGTACACACCCATATATGAGCAGCAGTGATCAGTGTAAACAGTGTTACCTGCACAAAGTGAGTCTGACCTTGGACATCAGGCTCTAATTAGAAACAGGAAGGGAAGTGCCGGCTATCTTTCCACCCTCCCCCTGTCCCTCTCTCTCTCACACATAACCAAATGCACACACACACAAACTCCTGCATGCTTGTTCAGAGTCGATCTGTTCTTGTCACACTGTCTTTTGCCTGCTAAAGCTGATCACACTGTTATAAGATCTAAGCAGGCCCAACAGACCAGACTTCATACAAGCGTCTTAACAGTTGCACTACTTTCTGTGCTTGCACTGTCATTGTGCCCAATTTAAAGCTAGAATATGCAACTTTCTGGCATCGTAAAGACTCTGTAAACCTGACATTTTCTTTTTCCAGGTGGTCCATTTCTAATACACCCAGTCAACCAGTTCTGGGGTTGAAAATTCAAAAATACTTAACAACTTTAAAAAGTGGACTTGTGTTGCCATTAAAGCATCATGATTTTTCTCTTTAACCACTTAACAATACTTATAGTAACTGAGGAGATTAGTAGTACAAACTAGTAATGTTGGAGCCATGTCTGTTAGGCATTTTTTAAAATTTTTATAGTATCTTTGAGTAAAACACAAAATGTTCAAATTACTCCACTGGAGGTGATTGGTGTTGTGTACCCTGATTTGTGCTACTGGTGGAAGAGTGGGGCTGAAAAAGATGAACTCACTGCAAATAACTCCTGATTAAAGTTTAAAATATAATAATCTGTGTCCACCACCTACAAAATACAAAAGATTAGGTTTTTTAATATGTGAGTTGAAGGGCAAATGTTACTTACCACTGACTCACTCAAACAGGTTGTAGTTGCAGCAGTGCAACACGGTTAATACTAGCCAGAGGTAGGAAGGTTTCAGGCTAGGGCGATGATGGATTGTGTGCCAAAAAAGATGCTGGTATATTGTGGTTAGCTCTGGGATATGTTATCAATATTTCTAGCACATAAAAGGGTTTTATGCAGGTATTTCTAGGAAGTGGGGCCAGAGTAAAGCTAGACTGAAGCCCACTAAGAATTCCAAAAACAGCCTTACAGGATTAAGAAAGCCACATACAGTAGTTTGTATATTGTCTCAGTGTAATTACCCATAGGTGCTGTCACTGAAGGGCGCAGTTTCACAAGAAACTAGATAACCCACTGACATCGGCTGTACTCAGACCACTAAAACCTACTGGGTGTCAAATCTTCAACAAATTATTGCTGGAAGCTGCTTATTTAAAGCCTGTTACTACTTCATGCAGGACGAGAGTGTGAATTTACAGCAGTCGCAACGTTTTTCAAAGGAAACCAGAAACAGCTCATAATTTTAACACGTCACACAACTCATTTCAACTTAACCAATGTATGACTGGACGCAGCAATCACCCCAGTGCAATATGTATCAGTCTGAAAGCATTTTAGACATTTCCCACATTCTTTTCCTTCTTTGATTGTACATGTTTCTATTTGAATGCAAGCATTTATTTTATTTTATTGTTTTCTTTTTTATTTTTCATTGTCTCTCTCTATTTCCTCTTGCCTACAAACACATTGATGCTTCTGTACTGGAGTATGTTCCTTGTATGTTCAAACATCCTTGGCCATTAAAGATGATTCTGATTCTTGTGTGCATTTTGATTTGTGCACAAGTGTCTTAACAGGTTGTCTGGCAGACCATCTACTGCATGATAAACTATTTACAGTATGTTTCTTCACAGTAGTACTTTTTGCACATTTTATTGTTAACAAATTAGATTTAATTTTAAATTAATATGGCAACTGCAAACAGGCTCAAACAGAAAAATAGAAAGTGTGAGATCAAAAAGATCTGGTGAGGTTGGGGGGGGGGGGATGTTGCATGGCAGATGTTTGTGGGCAACATCATTTGACACATGC